CCCCCACGCGCACCGCCGTCCTCCTCCGACTCCGAGCCTGAGCCCGGGCAGGACCGGGAGGTACGGGCCAGCTGGGAGCCCAGGGACGGGGCTCTGTGCATCCGACCGTGGTGGGAGGCCCGGGGCAGCGCACAGCTAAGCGCTGCCCACTGACAATGGCTCGGGGTTCATTCCGCCTCCCGTGGTGCCTCCGAAGAAAGGCATGGCGAATTGCTTCAGTGGAGGGGAACTACAGACCGTAGACTCAGGAACCTTGTAGAGTACAGTTCCTCATGCACACGTGGGAGGCGCCCCGAGTGGGAATCTGGGTTTTATTGAGCACCTGTTGTTGGCTAGGCCCTTCCCTGGGGGGTGAGGGAGCAGCCGTAGGTGAAACCCCAGCCCGCAGGTCTGACGACCAAGGTGTGCTGGCCAGTGGTGGCACAGAGGAGACTAGTGGGGAGGGGGAGGGGCACAGGACAGAGGATGAAAGGTTGCATTTCAGGCAGAATGGACCCCAGAGGCTGGCTGAAGAAGGTGCTGTGTCTTAGGCCTGCTTGACTTGAGAAACATACAGAGACACCCCTATACGTATAAGAAAGAGCTTTTTATCAAGGAGTAATTGTATATCATATATCAATATAATCATATATAAATATATATTATATATCAATGAAACAGCCCAGCCCAACTTATGCCCAGTGCATAAGTCTGATACAGAGTAGGCCCTCTCTGCAGGGGTCCGTAGTCCCTCCTCAGACTCACGCAGCCCCTTGCACTGATGCAGAACGCAGGAAGACCACAGGCTGGTGGGTGCAATTGGGTGGGTGTATGGTGGCAACCAGGGCAAGCCAGCAGGAAGGGGAAGGTGAGAGTGTGTGTCCCAGGACCCTCTTTATGAGGAAGCCACGCCCACAAGGAGTCACCATCACGATACGACCTGATTGACAGGCCAGACTCCACCCCTACATGTTTGTATATCGTCAAGTTGACATGCAGTCATGTAACTACCACATGCTGGCTAGCGTTTAGCGTCTGGGTGAACGGGAGGAGGTGTGCAGTCAGAAAACCCCGTGAAAAAGCCCTGGGGCAGGACTAGGCCTGCCAGCTGGAGGGATGGATGGCAGCAGTGTGGCTGGAGCAGTGTGGGGAGATAGGGAGAGGAAGAGGGGAGCTGGGGGAAGGGTTGGGGCAGGCCCTGCAAGGCCCGTGGTGCATGGGGAGCACTCAGGCGTTGACCCGAGGGAGGTGAGAGGCCTGGAGGGCTGCGGGCCCTGACTTGGGTGCTCTGCCGCCTGGGAGGCTGGGGTTCAGTCTCGCTCTCCCTCCAGGGCAGCTCATTCGGCTCTGGCGGCAGGGAATGCTGCCCCAGAATGGGAGGGTCTCTGGGAGAGGGTCCCCCTGGACAGTCCCCTGACCCCACCGCCACTCCTGATGCAGGGGAAAAAGTCCACCAAGAAGCAGCAGCAGCCGCCTCTGGAACTGGCGAGGAAGCCCAGCCAGAAGGAGAAGAGAGGCCGCCCGGAGGAGAGGCCCCGAGCCAAGTCAGCCCCCTGCCCCTGCCCTGCTCCACCCCTCACCCTGCCCCTTGCCCCTCGGGTCTGCATTCTTTGGGTGGAGGGTGGGGGCAGCCTCAGGACTAGGCTAGCACTGGCATGGCTGGGGACGTTTGTGGGGGCTGGGCATGTGGAGGCCAGGGCTGCTGCTCTGTACCCCCAGTGCACAAGGCGCCCTCCCAAAGGAGGTGCCAGGAGAAGCCCTGCCTCTGACCAGAGGCTCTCCAAGCCCCAGGAGGGACAGGGACGGTGCACCCCTCCCAGCCGCTGGCGATGGTGCCCCCCCAATCACCCAGCCACTAGGGCCCCGCAATCACTGTAGCCACGTGTATTGTAAGCCATCTCCCTGGTTTGCTCATAGCTGAGAAGGTTCACACTGATCCCTCGGGGTCTGCCTGGCCTGCTCAGACCCAGTCCCTATACCCTTTTCTGGGCAGGAGGGTGGGCAGAGGACTGGCCCCTGGGGACCCACCTAAAGAGAGGTGCCCTCTGCAGGCCCCTGAAGGTGGAGCGAACCCGGAAGAGGTCTGAGGTGCTCCCACCTGACAGAAAGGTAGAGAAGAAAAAAGGTGAGGGGAGCCCCAGGTTTGGGGTGATGGGGAGGTGGGCCTGTTTGCTGGGGGGGTGTGTGTGTCAGTTAAGCGGGCCCCTAGCTCCCGCCCACCCCCAGCTCCCGCCTCTGGTACTTGTATCCTCAGAGCCTTCAGTGGAGGGGAAGCTACAGAAACTGCACAGTGAGATCAAGTTTGCCCTGAAAGTGGACAACCCGGTAGGGTGGCAGCGGCGGTGGGCCCTGGTCAGGGTAGGGGCGGGGCCCTGGCTCGAGGCCCACTCAGCAGACGCCGTTTCCCCACTCCCTCCACGCAGGACGTGAAGCGGTGTCTCAGCGCGCTGGAGGAGCTGGGGACGCTGCAGGTGACCTCCCAGATCTTGCAGAAGAACACGGATGTGGTGGCCACGCTGAAGAAGGTGAGTGGGAAGCAGGTCTGGGGAGTGGGGGCCGCTGCCCTGCTCCCTCCCTGAGCCTGGCTCCTCTGCACAGATCCGCCGATACAAGGCCAACAAGGAGGTGATGGAGAAGGCGGCCGAGGTCTACACGCGGCTCAAATCTCGCGTGCTGGGCCCCAAAGTCGAGGCCGCCCCAAAGGGTGGCCGCGCTGGCACAGAGAAGGCCGAGGCCGAGCACCCTGAGGGGCCCCCAGAGGAGGCGCCCAAGAACAAGGTGGAGGGCGAGCCAGCGGCCGGTGAGAGCACCCACTGGTGGTCCTGGGCACCAGGGTGGGCTCGGGATTGGGGACCCCAGGCAGGTAGGTGCTGCCCAACCCAGATCATCCCCTCTGGCCAGGCAACGCAGGCATCCCGTGAGCTGTGTGAGCGCCAGGCCCGAGGTGCAGAAGCCCCAGAGAGGTGTGGATGGGGCCGCTGGGAGCAGAACTCCTTCCTGGCAGGACGGGGGCCTGGGCCCCTCACAGTTGTGTGAAGGTGGCCCCTGCCCCATGGCAGCCTTACATACTCTGGCCTGTAGTGATCCAGCCTCCTGCCCTCCCACATCCAACCTATCAGCTGAACAAGTCTTTTGGTCCACTGGGTGGGCATGGGTGTTTGGGGCACCAGGTGGACCTGGTGTCTGGCTGGGTGGGCACTGGGGACCAGGCTATGGGTCTCACTAAAGGGCCAGGGACCCTTGAGGGCTGTGCAGGCAGGCCCTCCCCTCACCCCCCGGGCAGGGTCTTCAGCTGGGAACCTGGCCGCAGTCTCCTGTGCGCCCTTGCTCTGCCCAGACCTACCCGCCCCAGTGAATGGCGAGGCCACGTCCCAGAACGCCGAGAGCACCGGCGACCACGAGCAGGACGACGCACTGAACTCCGAGGGGGGTCCCCGGGGTGACTCCTCTGAAGACCTGCACGACGAGTGAGTGTGGCCCCAGGCAGAGTGACGGGCACTGCCCATGCCCACCAGGAGCAGCGAGGCCCCTACGAGGCCCTGGGCCCACCGTGTGCCCTGCCGTGGGTTAGGGGAGTTGGATCTTGTTGCTAAGTTCACTCTGGTGATGAGGGACGGCTGACCGTCCTGGCTGGCCCTCACCACCTCCCCCTGCCTCTTGTCCCTCACAGCCTGCAGGAGGGGCCTGACCTGAACAGGCCTGGAAACAACCGGCCGGAGCAGTCACAGACGGACTCGGAGTCCTTGGATGAGGAGAGCTGAACCCACCCACCGCCCCGCGGCCCGTCTCCCCCACACCACCCAGGACAGCAGAGGACTCGCGGGGAGGCACAGCCGAGCCTCTGGGCTGTCTGCCTGGAGGCTGCGGTTTCAAGCCGACATGAGATGAATATAAAGGGTTTTTTTTAATGAAAGCACAATCATTTTTATTGGCTTGGTTTTCTAGCAGTGCTGATGCGGCCCATCAGGGGCAGGCCACCAGCTCCCCGAGGGGCTGTGACAGGGCTGAGGTTGGGTGGGCTCAGGGAGGTGGGAAGCCAGCTGGGGAGCAGGCCAGGTGAGCGGGAGCAGAGGCCGGGCCACAGGGAGGTGGAGATGCTGTGTTGGCCTGTGGGGTGTCCGTTCTGCCATGCGGCCTGAGACTGGGGTGCCTCCTGGGACCCAGTGCGGCTGCGGGCGTGACTCATGCCCCCTGCTGCCTGCTCCCGGTGGCCGCGGCCACCCTCAGAACTAAGAAAGGGGCCGTGTGCGTGTGTGCGTGCGTGAGGGTGTGCACAAGGTCTCAGCCCCATGGCGTGAGTGGTGCAACAGGAAGGCCCCAGAAGCTTCCATGAGGGCTCACTGGGCTCCAGCTTCTCCCAGCAACATGCCTGGGTCCTCGCCACCCCTTTGGGGTGCCAGGGCCCAGCTCTCCCGCCAGCCTAGGAGCTGGAAGGATCGGCACCACTTCTGCCTGGCGACCACTCTGGAAAGAGCCAAGGGTGTGGCATGCCGCGGCCCCCAATGGCATGAGCAGCGCTGCTCCCCAGAGAGCTATCTGCTGCCACCCCGCCCAGGTCAGCTTCCCGAGTGCATGGTGGCTCCCTTCTTCCACCTGAGACCACAGGGCCCACGTGGTCAGGGAGCTGGCATCCTCTTATCAGCTCCTGGTGCTCAGCGGTGCACGGGAGCTGGGACCCGCCTTATCCATCCCCTGGCACTCAGTGGTGGGGGGAACCACGACCCCAGAACATGGGCAAGTAAGTCGTGAATTTCAGGCCTCAGCCTAGCCCCTCCCATGGGGCCATGGCCTTCAGGATACCCTGTGCTTACTGCCCACAGCCTGGGCCCTGGCACCTGAGGAACAGTGGGTGTGGTGTTTTCAGACAGGGTGGGGTGGGGGCAGGTGCCGCCGACCCTGGGCTGACTGGAGGTCCCCTGAGCCACAGAGGCCGGGGTGCCATCTTGGCCTTAGGACACAGGACAGCGCTGCGCTCAGAGAAGCAGGTGCGGAGGAGGGCGGGGCCAGGGCCCAGGGCTGGGTGCAGCTGAAGGGTGCCGGTGGGCTGGCAGAAGACAAGGGTTCCTAGCGTGCGGCCAGGCGCTCCGTGCCCCACTCAGCCGGCGCCCACACTGCCATCAGGCTAAGTCTCGGTGGCGTTTCCAGACTGAGACTAGGAAGAAAAGCCTGCCAACCAACTCCCAGGTATCAGTCCGTGCGAACCAACGGACCCCGACAGAAGCTTCCTGGAGAGGGTGGTGGCACAAGGCCGAGCAGACCGGCAATGGGGAGGTGCGCAGCAGTGGGGAGCAGTCTGCCTGGAGGACACCTGCTGTGGTGGTGGTGTGGAGGGCCCACAGGTCCCTCTGTTTCCCTACTAGGGAGCCCACTCGTGATCTTCACTGGGGGCCCCCAGTGACAAAAACTCTGGGGAACGGCCAGGAGGTGGGAGGTGGGCAGCTCAGAGAGCCCCCTCTTTCCTGGGTGTGTGTTCCCCATCCCTTCTGACTCCCCTCACCCCTCGACTGCCAGCTCCATCCCTCAAGCTGAGTGTTACATGCCTGGAGCTGGACTTGCAAGGTGGGTGGGTGTGGCCCTAGGCAGGGGAGGCTCCGTGCCGGCTGGGGGGCACTCCTTCACCCCAGTCACCACCCACTACTGCTGCTGGGCCCCCTGGGGCAGCGCAAAGGGCCCCACCAGCCAGCTGAGCGGAGGGCTGTGCTGCACCTGAGCCAGCAGCCTCTCTAGCCCCCGCCACGCCTGGTTGACATCCTCACGGCTCTGCGCCAGGTGCTCCTGGGACAGCTCACTGAGGGAGCCGGTTGCCGCCAAGACCCCGTACAGCTCACACAGGCTGTGCCGGGCCTGTGCCACCTGCCGCTGGGACTCGCTGGGCAGGCCCTGCAGGCCCGAGGCCAGGCCGCCGTAGGCCACGTGCAGCTGCCGGATGAGCCCTCGCACCCTGGACAGCGCCCCGGCGTCGTCCACCTGCGGGAGGAAGGGGCCGGGTAAGCGGAGCAGGGAGGACCCGGAGCGGGGGACCCTTAGCCCCACCATACACACCTCTTGGCCACTGGGTCCCTCTGATCCGGCAGTCAAACCCTGCTCCAGCCTTGGCTGCTTGGCTTTCTCTATCTGGAAAGGAGGCAGCTTTGAGGGGCCGGAAGGACACCGCCAGCCTCCTTTCTATTACTCGCCATGAGATACAGGCATGGCTAAGAGTTACGGACCAGCTGGGCCATGGTGAACTGGCCACCCGGGTTGTTAGCAGCTAGCAAGTAGGGGGCCGGGCCCAGGACTATGAACCACGGCGCTGTCATGGGCAGATTTTGGAACGTGGATCACCAGGCCTTTCTTCCCAGTCTCTGCTGAAGGCTGCTCAGTATCCTGGCAACGAAGGCTTCTCTTTCCCTAGATAGTGGACATGTCCCCTCCGGTTGGTCCCTTGTCCACAGCTATCTTGTGACCTTAGGCTTTCCTGTCCCCACTTGCCCAGGCCTTACGCTCCTTGTCCGTCAGGATGCGGCTCGAAGAGACAAGCCCTGCCCAGCCTCCTCCCCATCTCCGCACATCCCCACCTTCCCTGCACCTGCAGGTCCTGGTCTGTGCTTGTTGCCCTCCCGAGGAGGACGCTCCCAGAAGGACAGGGCCCCGAATCCTACTGGTCACCGTCCGCCTGGTGCTCGGGCGGGAGGGCGCCCCTTACCAGCCGGAAGGAGTCCTGGAGCTGGGCCATCGTGTCCCTGGCCTGGAACTGGTTGTGCTGCAGGTGGCTTAGGGCATGTTCAAAGGCACGCTGGCGGAAGGCGGGCGATAGGTCGCCCAGGCGGACGAAGTAGATTCTGGGATCAGCAGAGAGCACCTTCGGCTCCGGAGTGGAGGCCGCCAGCTGAGCTGGGAGGGAAGCCGCAGCCATCAGACCAGGGCCTCCAGGGGGTCCAGGCCCAGCAGAGTGCGGCCCCTTCAGGGAAACTCTGGGGTACCCAGCCCCCGGGGTAATTCCCGCCCCCCACCCAGGGTCTTACCTTGTTCCTCCACGCTCATGGGCTCCAGGAGGACACCCAGCGCCTCCCGCTCACCAGTGTCCCAGGCTCCGGCGTGGCCCAGAAGAGCAGCTGCGGGCTCCGTGCTTTCCCCATCCCCGGCGGCTCCTGGGAGGAGCGGGCTCAGCAGACCTGCACAGACCTTGTCAGGGATGCTGGACCCCCTGGAGGATATGTCCCCCGACTGGGTAACTGCAGCCCAGACACTGTCCTGGCTCCCGGGCAGGAGTCCCTGCAGGGTGTGGACGGCATCCGAAGCCACAGTCCCCGTACCGGCCCGGATGGAAGACACCATGGCTCCGGCACCAGATGCCATAGACTTGCTGGTGTCCTGGCCGGTCTGCACAACCCCCTTGGCCACACCCACTGCTGCGGTCATCCCACTGTACACGGTGTCCTTTGTCCCTGTCACTACATTGTGGGTTGTGTTGAGCCCGGTCTGCATGGCCCCCTTGACTACGTTCACGGCCCCGGTCAGCCCAGTGGCCACCGTGTCTTTGGTGCCAGTCAGCACAGTCTTGCTGGTGTCCAGGCCAGTCTGCACAGTCCCCTTGGCCACGTTCACAGCCCCAGTCAGTCCGGTGGTCACTGTGTCCTTGGTGCCTGTGAGGACATTCTTGGTGGTGTCCAACCCCCCCTGGGCGACCCCCTTGGCCACATTTGCTGCCCCGGTCAGCCCAGTGCACACAGTGTCCTTGGTGCCTGTCAGCACGGCCTTGCTGGTGTCCAGGCCAGTCTGCACAGTCCCCTTGGCCACGTTCACAGCACCGGTCAGCCCAGCGGCCACCGTGTCTTTGGTGCCAGTTAGCACAGTCTTGCTGGTGTCTAGACCGGTCTGCACAGCCCCCTTGGCCACGTTCATGGCCCC